CCAGCTCACTGTCTCAGTTATTCTTTTCTGTTTTTGTACACATTTTGAGATCTTTTGTTGTGTTTTCTTGGACATTTTCAGTAGTTAAATGGCTGTATGTTGCTGTGTTGTTAAACTTATTGGGTGTCTCCTGGTGGATCTGATCTGGAGATAGGCTTCCCTTTTCATGTGTAATGCAGAGCAGCTGGTAGTATCCACCAGATGGTGGGATATTACAGGATATGCTTGTAGTTTGGCTATATGAGCACAATTGCTGTCTCTTCTTGGATAAGGTAGAGGTAGAAAGAAATTTCTCACCCCCAGGAAAAGAATGAGACCAAAAGGACCAAAGACAGAAACAATATAAAAACAGAGACAAAAACCACCAATCAAAAAGAAAATTAAATTTTAATCAGCTGTCCAATAGCCTTTGCTGTTCAGGCTGGGATAAAGGGTCCCGCCCAGGACAACTTTAGGGCTGGGTCCCAGAGTCAGACGTCACAGGAAGCAGCCTATGTGTTTCCTCTCTGTGCCATGGGAAAACTGTGTGCACAATGCTGGACCCTTTTGGGGGTTATCCCATCCACCTGTAGACATCTGGGCTGGGCAGTGAGGGTGTGATCAGTGTATAGAGGAAAAATATGTGAAAAATGACAAATCGGTCACATTTCCCCCTCCAGACGCAGCTCCGTGTCTTCTAGCACTGTGTCAATGCCTCCACTTGGCTGTGGCCCCTCCCTCTGATCTCAGTCCAGCCTGTCTGGATCAATTCAGAAATCACTGTATTTTGCTTCCACAGTTAGATTTCACCACAGGTTGGCGTGAGAAACTGGTGCCTGGAGCCTTATATAAGATCCAAAATTCTGGTGCTGTTCCTTGAAAGCTCCTTCTCTGGTTTTTCCACTCTTCTGAAGAGGAGCTTTTCCTACCTGTCTCTGCTTCACCTGCCCCCAACCCGGAAGTCCCTTTCTTGTCTTCTTAATGACCTTTTGCTTTCATCCTGTATGATGTTCTTGATGTCATCGTACAACTCTTCTGGTCTTTGGTCATTATTGTCCAATGCATCAAATATGTTCTCCATGGTCTCTAAATTAAGGTGGGATATGTTCAAAATTATATTTTGGCTTTCATGGACTTGTTTAAATTTTCTTCAGCTTCAGTCTGAACTTGCATATGAGCAATTGATGGTATGTTCAAAGTCTTCCCCTGGTTTTGTTTTGGCTGATGATATAGAGTTTCCCCATCATCTCTTCCCATAGATAGAGTAAATTTGATTCCTGTGTATTCCATCTGGTGAGTTCCATGTGTATAGTCATCTTTTATGATGTTTAAAAAGGGTATTTGCAATGAATTGGTTTTGCAAAATTCTGTCATGTAATCTCCAGCATCATTTCTATCACCAAGGCCATATTTTCCAGCTACTGATCTTTCCTCTTTGTTTCCAACCTTTGTATTCCAATCACCAGTAATTATCAATGTCTCTTGATTGCATGATCGATCAATTTCAGATTGAAGAAGTTGGTAGAATTTTTTCAACTTCATCCTCACTGGCTTTAGTGATTGGTGCATAAATTTGAACAATAGTGGTACTAACTGTGCTTCCCTGTAGGTATATGAATCGTATCCTATCACAGCCAGCATTGTACTTTAAGACAGATCTTTAAATGCTCTCTTTGACTATGAAAGAGACACCATCCTTTTCAATTTGTTGTTCCCAGTAAATCATGTGATTGCCAGATGCAAAATGGCTAGTACCAGTCCATTTTACCTCATTAATGCCTAGGATATCAATGTTTATGCATTTTATTTCACTTTTGACAACTTTCAATTTTCCTAAATTCATACTTTGTACATTCCATGTTCCAATTATTAATAGATATTTGCAGCTGTCTCGTCATTTTGAGTTGTGCCCCATCAGTAAATGAAGGTCTCAAAGCTTTATTCCATTCATATGTCATCATGGTCATCTACTTTGAGGAGGCAGTCATGTTTTGTGTGCCTTCTAACATGTATGCCTTCTAACATGTGTGCCTTCTAACATGAAGGGTTCATATTCTTGAACTATACCTGACAATATTCTGGTGCTACTCATATTGTTTTCATTTCTGGGCATTATATATGACAATGTTCCACTGCTATTCATAAGGTTTTCAGTGGTTAGACATTCAGGAATAATCTGCCTCTCCTCTTCCTAATATCTTTTAGTCTTGAAACTTAGTTGATACCTGTCCCACGTGGTTGACCTACTGGTATTTAAAATACTGAAGCTATAGTTTCTAGCATCATGGCCATATGCAAGGCACCACAGTATGACAAACTGATAGACAAGTGGTGATGGGGATGTTTTGGAGAGATGAAAACACTGCCTTCAGAAGTGTATAGGCTTAGATGGAGAATTGTCAAACTTGACATTTTGAAATTTTTGTTTAATATAGACTTCTGTGATTAAGTAGCAATATTTTTGTACATTCCCTGGCACATCTAAAGACCTATGAGCAGTGCTATAGAATAGGTACTCATAGTTATCTGTTGGTGTTGTAAATCTTGGAGTCCTGGTGTGGCACTGTGGGGTAATGTGCTCGACTGCAAAGTCAGTTTGAATCACTAAATCAGCAGTTTGAGCTCACTAGCCACTTCTTGGAAACTCTATACAGGGTCACTATGAGTTGGAACCAACTTAGTGGCACTTAATAACAACAACAACCATTGTTAATCTTATTATGCTGATCTTGGGAGTGATTATCTCACAAAAACAGTAGAAGATCAGAAGTTTTATGAAATGTTATGCATGTGTTTTCTGGATCTTCATTTGCTGATGGGGCACAGTTCAAGAAAGTATATCCTCTTGTTGAACATTTTCCTTTTCTTCTATTTAGGATAATTCTTATAAGACATTAAAAATGGGGTTTTCTTTTTGTTGTTGTTGTTTAAGTGAATAGCCTTTTGATGTGTTAATTTTATTAGTTCAGTCTTTTTTATAGTCCAGATTTATCTATGAAATGTCATCTAATAGACTTTTTATACAGTTTCTCTCTTTTGTCTAGAATGGCCTTTTCCCAACTATTCCCAACATATGGCCTTTCTTTCCTGTGTTATGGCTTACTTCACTTAATTTCTTAATAGTTTTATTTTGTTTTCATTTCTTTGATGTCTTTTTTCTTCAAAACCAGCTGATTCCTATAATACTTTGGTGTACACTCAACATTTCCTTCTTCAACAAATATTTCCTTAACTAATCACATGCCACATTGATGTTTCTGTTTGCATTACTTTATCACCCATGAACAACCTGTAACATGCTGCCATAGTTATATTGCCTGACAGTTCTATCATTTTCCCATTTGTATCTTGTTTCTCTAAATAGATTGATAGCTATGCTTGGATGAATTTCAGGTGACTGGTGCTTTCCAAATACTTAAGTATTACATGAAAACTTGTCATTAGGGTTCAAATTATATGTATCTTTTGAGGTTGATGTTACTTGCTTTAAAAAGTATTCTTGCTGCTTGGCAAAGTCATTGGAAATTTAAGTATGGGGTTCCTAACGATGGCTAGAAAAGGAATGCATTCCTTTAATCCACAGATTAGGAAACCATGAAACACATGACTTTAGAAGCATAGCCTTCCAGCATAATGCATTAGGTACCTTATAGTAAATAGATGTTTTAAATTTCTTTTTAAAGGCAAGCAAAAAGGGTTTGACAAACAGAATCATTAGGGTTGAGATTGCAGCATCATGTTTTAATGTGCTGAAACTATTTTAAAATTCAGGGTTCATAACAGAGGCTAGATCTTCTGCCACTATTTTCTGAGGCTTTGGACTTGAGATGGTAGAAATCTGAAACATAGGCTATAGGAAGTTGTAATGACTATGCAAATATTTGCACATTTTAGCCTATGATTGCACATGCTTTAAAGGGACTGTTCACAATGCACTGATCTTGGAAAACTCTGTAAAGAAAAAGTAGAGATCCAAGGGAAAAAAGTAAAATTTCTCCTCAAAATTTCTTTCAGAATGTCTGAAACATATTCAGCATTTATTCACAATTAAGAATTTCAATGTAATGACTTGTTCTGTTCTTCCATATTAAGGAGAATGTTTTCTCAGTCAATGTTTCAAGAGCTGAAACTATGTTTTTACATGCTACAGCTGCAGAACTCTAAAAGATGCATCAAATTAGGTCATATTACTCAAACACTGTGATATGTTACACTTTGAATTCTTTGTGAGCCTGTGATATTTGGAATGGAGGCCTAGCTTGATAGGCAAGATGTTTCTCCTTAAAAGCTTCAGGTAGAAGGAAAACATTCCTTTTTTTTTTTTTTTTTAAATTCTGTTCTTCACCCTCTCAACAATCCTCTCCCATATAGACATATACATGTTTTGGACCAATTCAGTATTTTATTCTATGTGCTGTAACAGGTTAAATGCAAATTTTAGCAAGTTCAAGTTATTTGAATGTGAGGGTATTTAGTCTCAAGGCCTAGCATTATGCCCAGCTCATTCCACATCTTAAAATATGTCAGGGCTAGACAGTAAACAGCTATAGTAGTAGGGCTCCAAACCACAATTAATAGTGCTAACTGCTGTCATGTTATAAACCTGCCTCTTGACTCCCTAAAATAAAGAGCTGGGAGCAGTTGTGGCAACCTCAAATTCTGTTACCAAAAAGGATATGTTTTTAGTTTCTTCACTTGGCTTCTTATGCATACTTATAAGGAGATACCTGATGGATTGATTGCAAAGTGGACTATGACATGTATCTGGGAAACTGTCTCACTTAACTTTGCTTAAATTGCTTCTGTTGTTTCTTCTGTGACTAAGATTATAATTCAGAGCACTCCTATCTGAATACTGGTTATAGTACTGTAAAGCAAATGTCAGAATTATAGCCAGAGAGTAAAGCGGTGAGCTAATTACTATTAGGCGGAGTTCAGATTATCTTAATTTTAAGGGGCATTGTCCCTCGACTTTGGTATTTTCCAACAATCGTACCATTTATTATTTTATTTTATTTTAGCCATGTCCTTTGGGGTCCCGAGATTTTCGAGAGAAACAGTGTGCAGACTTTGACAATATGCCTTTCCGTGGAAAGTATTATAACTGGAAACCCTATACTGGAGGTAATGTATAACCTGGCAGAACATTTTTCATGCTTGAGAGATTTGCAAATTACAAAAAACAAACAAACACGCACACACATACACATTCATGAGTATACTAGCAAAGTTTAGAACTTACAAATGGAAAAAGACAAGTGCTCATACTACTACAAAGTTTACATATTTAAGTTTTCTTTAATAAATTTTTAATATGAATTCTTAAAAATAATTTTTTAGATATACCCAATTAAAGGAGCTCTGGTAGCATAGTGGTTACAAATTGGGCTGCGAGCCTCAAAGTCAGCAGTTCGAAACTACCAGCTGTTCTGCGGTAGAAAGACGAGGCTTTCTGTTCCCATAACCTCGGAAACCCTGTACAGGGTAGCTATGAGTCAGAACTGACTCCACGGCACATAACCACCACTGATTATATTTAACAAGATACTAAACTACAAGAAAGAATATCTACACATATACAAAGCCATATAATAATATTTGAGTTCTACATGAGATTTTTTTGGGATCTATGCACATTACTTTGTAATTATTGAATATTTGGAGCTGTCAACCAGAAAACAAATTATAAGACTATAATCATCTAAATAGTCCAGCAAAATCTGTGTTCGTTTATGGTCAAAGGGCAAGAATAGTCCTACAAATTATTATTATTAGTTTGGGAAACATTTTTTTTCCCTTTAATTTGGGCATGTAACAAGTACTAATTGTTCAGTAGATATTTTCTTAACCTCTTCAAATCCAAATTCAATTTTGTAGAAATTTTATCTTAGAAAAATTGAATGTCATTGTAAGCAACTTTTATGTATCATTCACTTCTTTTTCTAACATTTTATTATGAAAATTCTCCAACATACAGGAAACATAAAACAAATTACAGTGACAACTGTGTACCAAACAAAATTCTACCATTAGTATCTTATTAGACTTAGTTATTACATGGATATTCATCCCTCTACCCACTCATCAGTCTTGACTATGTTTTCAGACATTTCAAAGTAAATTGGAATCATTAGTATACTTTCTTCTAAATGCTTAACATAAATAGCATTATCCAGAGGTCAATATTTATTTACTTCTTTTCTTTTGAAATATGATAACATACAAGGAAGTGCACAAATCTTAACTGTTATTTATTTCCCTGAGTTTTGAAAAATGCACATACTGTTATAATACAAACACGTATTACTTCCAAAGTTCCCGTAGTCCTTTAAGTCCTTCCCAACCAGTAGGTTCTTCTACTTTCTCCTTCAAAGAAGTAAACATTGTTCAGATCTTTTTTTTCTTCCCTTAGATTAGTTTCACCTATTCAAGAACTTCATGTACGTGAGATCATGTAATGCACTATACTTTATATGAGGCTTCTTCAAGCTTAATTTTTCTGAACCCCCATCTACATAGTTGCATGTATAAGTACTTCATTTCTTATGATTGCTGAGCAGTATTCCATTGTGTGAACCACATTTTGTTTTTCCATTATCCTATTTATGGACACTTAGACTCTTTCTAATTTTTATTGTTATGAGTAAAGCTGGTGTGAACTTATTGTATGGAAGGCTTTTTGTGGACATGAAAGACTTCTAGGTAAATATCTAGGATTGAAATTGCTGGGTAACAGGGTATGAGACAGATTTCTGTTAGATTGGATTTGTGTGAGATTGATTTTGCTCCATATCCCTGCCAACATTTGGTGTTGTCAGACTTTTTCTCGTGGGTATATAGTAGTATCTTATTGAAGCTTTAATTTGCATTTTTCTAATGATTATGTGGAGCACATTTTCATGTGCTATTTATATATCATCTTTTGTTGTCTGCTCAATCTTATTGCTTGTATTTTAATTGGCTTACTTAGCATTTTGTTCTTCAGTTGTAGTTACTTACCAGATATGTTTTATGACTATTTTTTCACAGTCTTTGACTTCCCTATTACTGTTTTAATGGTATTTCTGGATCACTGTTTTTATTTTGATGAATGCCAACTTATCAATATATTTTTATTTTCTTTTATGGTCATTGTGTTCTGTGCTGGATCCAATAAATCTTTACCTACCTCAACTCACAAAAGTATTTCCTTTTGTTTTTTATTATGGTTTTAGTCTCTACATTTATTTAGAGGATCCAGCTCAAGTATTTTCGAGATACAGTGTATATTTGTAGTGGATGTGTAGACCCTCTATTTTGTTTCATTAACCTGTTTGTCAATCCCATGCCAGTAACACACTGACTTGATTATAATAGCTGTATTTTTAGTAGTGAGCATAGGTAATGTAAGTTTCTCCAACTTTTATCTTCTTTTTCAAGATTTAATTTAAAAAAATTCTAGTCTTTTATATTTTCATAAAAATTTTAAAATCATCTATTAATTTCTATGAAAAAACTCATTGAAAATGTGATTGATAATTACATTGAATCTATTGATCAAGTGAAGATAACAATAATGAATTTTCTAATTTATGAAAATTGTATACCCCTTCATTTACTTTTGTCTTTAAATTTTTTTCTTACCTGTGTTTTGTAGTTTTTGGTATAATGACTTGTTTTAAATCTATTCCAGAGTAATTTTTGATATTCTTATTAATAAAGCTATTAATATTTTATTTTCAATTATGCTAGTATGTAAAAATAAGGCTATTTTGTATATTAACCTTATAAATTTGTTTTTTGTTGATGTTTTCATTGTTGTTTCATAGGTTGCCTATGATTTTCTTGATAATCAATCATGCTTACTGGCAATAGAAATAATCTATTTCTATATGAATTTTATTTCATTTTCTTGCCTTAATGTACTGGCTAGGCCCACCTGTACAATTAGTGCATCTTTTGATTTTTTTTTTTTACTATATTCTGTTAATATAGTAACTTATTTAATTACTTGTACAAAGTTAAAACAACCTTATATCCCCCGGATTAACCTCTTTCTATATGTTATTATATTTAATTTCTAT